CCCCAAGGAAGAAGCATTACCCCATTTCCCACAGCAATTTACTCCCACTTAATGAAACATTTCAAACACCAGGGTCATCCAGGAGGAAAAATACTCAATATTATCCAACAAAAGCACATCTGGAGGCTGCTCATCCCTTGGGATCACCCATATGGGTGTCCCCCCCCTCTCCCATGGCCATGGCACAAGGTGACACCACAGGGAACATCTTGGTATCGATGCAACCAAATAAATCCCAAATCACCCCGGGAATGAGCTCAGAACATCTCCCCAGAGCTGCTCCAACCCAAATCTTGCCATTCCCACCCCACCCCAACTCCATCCCATTCTCCTGACCTCTCTGAGCACCTCAGAAATAAATCCAATTAACCCCCCCACCCCCCCCCTCCCCCCAGCTCCTGAAGATGCAGCAGCTGGTTTGTAATTAAATTATCTTTAGAAATTAGTAATTAGTAATTAATATTCCCTCTGGGGGTTGTCTGGGTGCTCGTTGCCATCCCACCATGTGAAATCCAGTGTCTGAGATCCCCCCCCTCCAAGTTGGGTTTTGGGGGATGCTCCCAGTAGCTCCCATTTCTGATGTGGGGCTCAGTTGGTCTCCCCAGTGCTGATGGGTTTCATCCCATTATCCCTGGTCATCATCGTGCTGGGTCCTGGATCACTTGGAATCTTCTGCAGCTCAGATCATAGAATCACAAACTGGTTTAGGGTGGGAGGAACCTTCAAGCTCATCCAGTCCCAACCCCCCTGCCAGCAGCAGGGACACCTTCCACTAGACCAGGTTGCTCAAAGCTTCATAAAAAGTCACTTTTTAATCCATTTTTTCTTATTTTTTCATCTAGAGTGAAGACAATTCTCCATAAAAAAAATCAAATTAAAAAAATCCTGGTGATTTATCTTCATCTGCTCAGCATCAAATTGAAGCTGTAGCCTCCAGCTTGGTCCTCTCCCAAAAACCCATCTCAGCACAAAGCCACCACTGTTCCTCACACCAGGAGCCCTTGAAAAACCTCCAGGGCTTTTTTTTTTTCCCCTCCCCTTCTTTTGTTTCTGGAGTGATGTCTTTGAGTTGTGTTTTGTGAAGGACTCATTCCCTTGGAAGCCATTTCATAAGGAATAAAGCCTGGGAGATGTTGGTATTTGTGGGCTGTGCTTTCTTCTCTTTGACTTCATCACTTTTCAATGGATCCCATCCCCTCACCAGGATGAGATTTAACCCCAGAACTTCCAAACTCAAGTGGATCAGATGCCAAAATGACACCAGATTTGAGTCCTGCTGAGGGCCAGTGTTGGTCCTCAGGCCACCTCAAGTGAGCTGCTCCCAAGTGAGCTGCTACAGTTGAAGTTTAAGGGGGTTTCAGCCCAGAATCCTTCTCCACAAGTATCTCACCACCTCACCAAAACCCAAACCAGATGCCACTAGCCCATCTCTCCATCCTCAGCAAGGACATAAAGTCCAGGAGAAGGTGATGCAGAGCTGGAGACCATCCCAAGGATGGGTTCTCCCCACTGGTGATGGATCATATGAACATCCCCACCTCTAAAATCCAACCCACAGGGAAAACAAAGATGGGGCTTGGTGCTACCCCCAAGGATTTTGGACCAGAGTCATTGAGGAGCTCAGCTGTCCCAGCAGAATGGGATTGAAGAGGTGAAGGGCAGCCAAGGAGACACGTGCCCAAACCTTGTCAAGAAGAAGGGACACATTATGGGGGGTTCCTCACCAGTTTGTCCAGGAAAACCACCAAGTCCTGAGGAAGGGAGGAGAGAGAAGGTGAGATCCTGCCCAGGACCATGTCCTACCAGCCCACACCACACTCATCGCGCCAATGGCCATACCCTCACCTTGCATATCTGCTCCTGGGAATATTCTTTTATGTCTGCATGAAAGACATGACCATCATCATTAGAACATCCACACGTTTCTAAGGATGCATCCTGCATCCACCTGAGGAGCAGGACAGCTTCCACCCACCCAGGAGAAGACTCCTCCACCCACCTTCTCCTGGGTCTTGGTAGCTCCAGCCCTGTACATCCCCGTTCTCCCAGTAAACCCAGCTCACCTGGTGGGGCCGTGGACTCTCCGTAGCCCTTCATCTCCAGAGCGATCACCCTGAAGCCAGCATCAGCCAAAGCTGGGATCTAGGAGGGAAAGCAGAAGCCTCCAAAGGACATGGAGACCCCCAGACCCTGCTCTACCTTGGTGCCACCACCCATCCTGCATCAGCCCATCCCAGCACCCCCCAAGATGTCCCCTCCAGGAGGACAGACACCAGCTGGTGAGGCTGGAGGGTGAGGAACACCCCTGGGCTGTGTCCTGTGTCCCTCAATGCTCAAGGTAGGGTGGTGGGACAGCCCCAGGACCCTCCAGGAGTAGTGGTCATGCACCTCCTCCAGCATCCCACCACCAGCCACCATGATCCACCCTCTTCCCCATCTCCTCCATCACCTGGTAGCGCCAGGAGAGCCAGGACTCGGGGAAGCCATGGCAGAGGCAGACAACGGGGCCATGTCCCATTTCCACAAAGTGCAGCTGGACACCAGGCTGGAGGGGACAGAGAATTGTCACCAGCTGTGGGTGGCATGGCTTCACCCTCCCTAGACCTTCCACCAGCCATGGGAGCCCACCATCCTCAATAGTCCAGCATCCCAGAGCCACATGAGCATATTTTGGCCCCTCAGGTGGATGGAGAAGACCTCAATGATGGAGTAGCTCAGCATCTCCCACCCTGAGTAGTCCATAAAGGAGGGTGGACAACCCAAGAAGCCACCCTTCAGCTGGCAGATCCTTCCCAACACCCTCCCCAGGATGCCTGACACCCCCACCAACCCCTTGCCAAGGCTGAGGACACCTTGTCACCAACTCAGTCCCCACCACCCTACCCGGATGGGCACGTATCCATGGGTCACATCAGATGGATCACATGCAGTTGGCAGAGGCTCTTCTTGGGTGAGAAGCTGTGGGGTGAGGAGCACAGGGTGAGATCCTGAGGAAGTCTGGAGCATCATGGGACATCTCCACCACCCTGCTGCTGGTGGGACATCCATGTGTTTGAGGTGGACGTGGCTTAGAGGGTCCAGGGTTTGAGGTTATCGGGGGGTGGACAGAGTTAGAAGTCCCATCCTTGGAAACATTCAAGGTCAGGTTAGATGATGCTGTGGGCAACCTGGTCTAGTGCAATGTGTCCCTGCTGATGGCAGGGGGGTTGGAACTGGATGACCTTGAAGGTCCCTTCCCATCCAAACCAGATCACAGCCTCCACCTCATTCACTTCCAAAGCCACCCACAAGTTCTCCACCAGCACTGCATCACGGCAAGATCCAGAAGCCCGAGCTTGTCCCTCCTGGCTCTGCTCTCTGGTCCAGGAACCCCAGGAGAGCAGGGAACAGAAGGGACCCATCCCACCTCTACGTGCCTGGACACCTGAGAGCTCCTCCAGCTCCTTCAGGACGGTTTCAGTGTCCTTGACGTGGATGGTGGCCATGCCCATCTCCCGAGCTGGTTTCAAGTTCTCCCCGATGTCATCCAGGAGGATGACCTGGAGATACACCAGTGAGAACCAGGCTCAGCACCCCAGGGAAGGGTTGGTTGGTTGCTAGGGTTGACCAAGGACTTTGGGTGCTTGGAGGGACCCTGTGTGTCCTGTTTTTGGGGTGATGGTTGTAACCTCTTGTGGCTTTGCCTGCAGAGCATCCAGGGCGTGGGTGTAGATCTTGGGATCTGGTTTCTGCACTCCCAGCCGACAGGACTCCAGCACCAGGTCAAAGTGTCGATGCAGCAGGTTCATCAGGGTGGCCGTGAAGAGTCGCCCAGAGCTGTCATCGACCCAGTTGTTGGTGAGGACACAGGTCTTGAATCCTAGAGAAGGGCAAAGTGGGGAGCACTGGGAGCGGCTGAGGGAACTGGGGGTGTTGAGCCTGGAGCAAAGGAGGCTGAGGGGAGACCTTGTGTCTCTGTGCAAGTCCCTTGGAGGAGGGTGGAGAGAGGTGGGGGTGGGTCTGTTCAACCAAGGCCCAAGGGACAGGACAAGAGGAAATGGGCTGAAGTTGTGGCCAGGGCAGTTGAGATGGGATGTGAGGAAGAATTTCTTTGCTGAAAGGGTTCTGAGGCATTGGAAGGGGTTGCCCAGGGCAGTGGTGGAGTCCCCATCCCTGGAGGGATTGAAGAGTCGTGTAGACACAGTGCTGAGGGACATGGGTTAGTCATAGGGGACTGGTCAGTGTTGGGTTCATGGTTGGACTCCAGGAGCTTCAAGGGCTTTTCCAATCCAGGCCATGCTGGGATTCTCAGACCTTCCCAGCCTAAGCTCTCCCATTTGCCAGGCTCCATCCAGACCAGGACATCCCAGCAGGAGATAAAAGGATGCTCAGGAGAAGCTTATGCAAATTTACACTTCCAGGAAAACGAGGTTCAACCATCCCAATGCAAATGGGACATGAGCCAGAGCCTGGACATGCTCTGAGATGCTGAGGATTGAGGTGATGGACCAGCCATGGTGCAGTTGCCAGTTGTTGGCTGGGTGGTAACACCAGGATGGATTTAGCAGCAGAGGTCAGAATGTCTAATTAGAGATGCTGAGAGAGAGCTTTGATGATGATGAGGGACCAAGTTAGGGACCTTGTGGTGGAACCAACTGGGGAGATCATGGTGGGGCTGACCAAGGACCTCCATGGTGGGACTGATTAGAGACTCCATGATGGGATAGACCAGGGACCCCATGGTGGGACAGAGCAGGGACCCTGTGGTGGGACCAACTAAAGACCCCGTGATGGGATAGACCAGGGACCCCATGGTGGGACAGAGCAGGGACCCTGTGGTGGGACCAGCTAGGGCTGTAATGGGACTGACCAGGGTCCCATGGTGGGACTGACCAGGGTACCATGGTGGGATCAACCAGGGACCTGATGGTGGGACCAACTGGGGACCTTGTGGTGGGACTGACCAAGAACCCTGCGGTGGGATCAACCAGGGACACCTGAGGAACCTGCTCAGGAGGACAGTAGCACCCTTACTCCATCACCCCTTGCCCAAAGCCCACCCCCAGCACCCACCATTGCTCCGCAGCACCCTCGCTGCCCGCAGGAGGGGAACATTGACCGTCCCCTTGGCCGCCATCTCCTCAAAGGCTCGGGCGACGGAGAAGGTGGGTGGCAGGGTGATGCCTGAGACGGAGGCGTGCTGCTGGCAGCCCTCTTCCATCTCTGAAAAGAGCTGGAAAACACCCACATGGTCATTCCATTGACCTCCAAAACATAAACCACAGCCCATCCTGGAGCCTGCTCCCCTCAGATCCTTCCCCAGTCCCATCCCAGCCTCATCCCAGTCTGTCCTGGTGTGAGCTGGGCCAGA